GTGCTGGAGAAAAGTTTTGAACATACCATGAACTGCCAAGAAAACAAATAGGTCTTTTTTGGAGAGGGTCAAACCAAGTTTCTCTTTGTAGGCTAGGATTTTGAAGCTCTCATATACTTTGGGAATGTGACCAGGGAGTACCAGTTCTTGAAGGACATCATGCTTGGAAGGATGGAGGGACAGCACAGAAGAGGAAGACCGCAAATAAGATGAATTGATACACTAACTGGTGCAATGGGGGTAGGTGTGTTGGAGTCAGTGAGACCAACTCTAGACAGGAATAGTTTCAGAGCTGTTGAACATACGATCACTGTGGTAGCATATCACTTGACAGCACATAACAACATGGGAAAGACTCGGCATAAAAAACAATGTATATTACTTTGTAAGTAAACTTGTATAAAATTAAAAAAAACTTTAAAAAATCACTCAGTATTCAGCAGGTACTTATTATTGGGCAAAAAGTAGGTAATGCAAAAGTATGAATATCTTATAAGGTCACATGAGAAGAATCTAGTCAATTTTCTGACAGATATTTTCTTATGATCATCTGTGTTCTCTTTCATATGACTGTAACTTATTTAGTTTAGGAAAAGAATGTTTTGTTAGGTAAAGCATATTTGTTCTTTAACATTTTCACATATTTTTTTTAATCTCCTGAAATAAATTTGTGATAATATTTGATTGTTGGGTCCTTATAATGTAGTGCAGAACATGCTGAGCCAGTATTGGAAAGGTTAGAGGTTTAAGTTGACTCAACTCTGTGGAAGAAACAGGGGTATAGAAAACTAGATAAGTCATTATGAGTTGGATTAAAATCAAAAGTAATGGATGATTTTAAGGTTATTGAGGGAAATAGTCAAAACTCTTATGAAAAAGAAAGATGTATCTTTTTATAGATAGAAGTTACCATGTACCCTATAACTTCTTTCTCCCAAATGGTTGGATCTCCACTCTGGGAAAACCTATGATAAGTGTTACCCAGACATTGATGTAATTTCTTATGCAGTTATGGGTTTATTCAAATTTTCTACATAGGTCTGTATTTGTTTCAATACATCATGTGCTTCTAGAAATTTGTCCAGTTTTCTGATTTTTCAAATGTTTTGGACTACAGTTCCTCATTACATTTTGTTACTGTCCTTTTATTTCAGTTGGTTCTGTTATGTCACTCTACTTTCTTGTACATATAATTTAAGCATTTGTGATTTTTTTAAATTATTAAACCTGCAAGTGATCTGTCATTTCATTAGTCATTTCAAAGAGCCAATTTCTACGTTTTTTTTCCTCTCACTTTTTTCTTTAGTTTATTTCTGCCGTTATTTTAATTAATAGTTTTCTTTGGAACACTGTCAGTTTTTTGGCTACCCCTCTTCTGATTTTTGGAGTTCTTAAGTCAAAATTCTGACTTTGGGCCGTTCTTCTTTTTCCATGCATGTATGTGTTACTATAAATTGCCTTCTGAGCATTATTTTCAATACATTCCAATTTTTTTTTATCTCAAAGTATGTTACGTCTTCATTATCATTTCTTTCTATTTGTGCTGCATTAACTAGGCAAAGGCATTTGATTGTGTGGATCATAACAAGTTGTAGCTGACATTGAGAAGAATGGTAATCCCAGAGCACTTAATTGTGCTCATTTGAAACTTATACCTACACCAGGAAGCTCTTGTGTGAACAGATCAGGGGTACACTAGATGGCTTAAAATTAGGAAGAAAGTGTCTCAGAATTATATTCTCTTTCCATACCTATTCAATCTGTACGCTGAGCATATTTTTCAAGAAGCTGGCCTCTATGACGAGGAATGCAGTATCAGTACAGGAAAGAAGATTCATCAATAACCTGTGTTATGCAGATGATACAACCTTGCTTGCTGAAAGGGAGGAAAACTTGAAGTACTTGTTACAGAAGACCAAGGAATGCAGCCTTCAGTATGGATTACATCTCAATGGCAAGAAAACAAAGATTCTTACTACTGGACTGATAGGCAACATCTTGATGGATGAAGAAGAGATTGAAACTGTCAACAACTTTATCTCACTTGGATCCACAATTAATCCTCTTGGTACCAGCAGACAGAAAATCAGGAGACATACTGCACTGGGAAAATCTGTAGTTAGGGACTTCTCAAAATTATTAAGGAGCAATTATGTCAGTTTGCGAACTTAAGTTGCATCTGATTCAGGCCATAGTCTTTCTGATAACTTGTTATGCTTCTGGGAGCTGGGCAATGAATAGGAGTGGCAGAAGAAGAATTGATACCTTTGAGTTGTGGTGTTAGAAAGGAGCACTGAACATCTCATGGGCGACCAAGAGAACAAATATATCTTGGAGATGGTAGAGCCAGAATATTCTTTGGATGCAAGAAGGATGAAACTTCACCTCACATGCTTTGGGCATGTTGCTATGACAGGTTTTTCCTTGGAGGGGGATATGGTGCTTGGAAAGGTAGAGGGTTGGCAAAGGAAAAGACTCTCAGTCAGATAGATTGACATGGTGACTGCCACAGTGGGCTTTAATGGGTTGGGACGTATAAGGATGACACAGGATAGGACAGGATTCAGATCTGTTGTTCATAAGGTCACTGTGGGGCATACTTTACTCAGTAGCACCTAACAACAATAATCTGTTCACATTTTTTCCCATTGTGTGAAATTTCTACATGACTTCTTCCACAGTCAACATACGTCCTTTCACCAGTTAATTCTCATCTTAAGTAACTCTTGCTCTGGCAAGTTTTTCCTTATCTCTGAGAAGTTTTGTATGTGTTCCCCTTAGAAAAGTATCATTATTATACTAATAAAAGTATTCTGTAAATGTATATTAAATATTTTTTTGTGATTCCTACTATATCTTTGTGTGACATACTTTGGGCATGTTGCAAGGAGGGACTGGTCCTTGGAGAAGGACATCATGCTTGGAAGGGTGAAGGGATGAAGAAGAGAGAAGGAGAGCCCTGATGAGATGGAATGATACAGTGACTGGGGTGATGAGGGTAGGTGTGTTGGAGACAGTAATGTTGGCACAGGATAGAGTAGGTTTCAGAGCTGTGGTACATAGGGTTTCTATGAGTCACAAGTGGCTCAATGGCACATAGCAACAGCAACAACTATATCTTAAGACTCTAAAGGGTGGAAAAAAGACTTATTCACTCTAAATATAAAATGATAAATGTAAATTAAATTAGTCAATATTTTACATAAAGCAATTTAAATACAAGAAATGAAATTATTTCATTCTCATGATTGTTAGTATACTTTTTGAGATTCTTCTAGATTAGAATTTATGTACTTACATAAACAGAATAAGCAATTGGAATCTATAATCCTCAGGACCAAAAAAAAAAAAAAAATAAAAAACGAAAACCCTGAAACCCACCTAGTACACTCTCCACCTTTGAAGTATGACATACAACAGACATGAACAGATTTTATAAGCCTGAAGTCACCAGATGTGATCTTCACATGAACAAGTCTTAGTATCTTGCCCTAGCTGATAACCTAGCTTCCAATTTTTCTCTCCTATCCCTGAGGAAATACCTGAGCACTCCCAGCTGTGCTCTTAAAAAGGAGAGGAGGAGAGAGAGTTGAAACTCTGGAGATATGACTTCAACTTTCTGGGCCTATTAAACAGATTTTGGCTTGGAAACATCTCTAATGAGTCTTTAAATGAAACATAAGTATGTTCCCATTCTACAATGGATCTGTGAACTGGGTCAGTGCCAGAAGCAGCAATATGCAATGATCCATCCCTCTCAAACCTGATTTCAGATTCAGACAAGGAAAGAAGACAGAAGATTTTCTAGAAGACTGAAACCAGCTAATACAGGTGATAGCTAAGGTTCAGATTTTTCTTCTTTTAACACATGTTCAAGGCACAATGTTTCATTTTGGGGTTTCTAATCTCTGACTGTTAGATTAGACAAGAATAACTGTGACTGTCATACATACTTTGCCAATCTCCTTAGCCAAAAGTTTATGTTCAGATTTCCTTAGAAATAAGCAAACATTTGTGTTGACAATTTTTTTAAAAAGACTGCTTCTTAAAAATATTGTGAATTCTTGTCAATAGGCTTCATTATATAAAAAAAAAAAAACCCTCCCAGAGGTCCAGATGCTGGCCATCTTACCCTAGAATCTATGTGACTCTATATTTCTATCCTAGTTAAGAGAATAGAGGGTATGTAGAAGTAAATTAGGGAACACGGGAGTCACTCTGCATTATTTATTTACTTGCTTAGACTTCATATGAGTTGAATTAATGATTCCCACTTAGTCTAAGATTTCTTTCCTATCGTTTCACTTTGCAATTACCAAAGATTTCTCTGGAAAACCACTGAAGTCAAGGTATTTTTCTTAATTTGAGTGTATTTAACTATTTCCACAGAGACATTTGTATGCAGGGCATTATTACATTATCTAGAAATCCTTTTCTTGTAAAAGGTTGAGATGCATGACCAGTGTTTCACATTCTTAGAGCCTCCACAAGTTCCTGTATGTCCTATTTTTTTTTTGAGCCAAAGCTTCTAAGAAAATGTACCCTCTTTATTTCTCGAAGATTTTCTGTTAATGAAAATAAGAAATAGACATGCCATGTTTAAAATCTTAAACTTGTATTACCAACATTAGAGAAGACATAATTAATTTTTAGAGAGAAGTAGTTAACAATGGGAGAATGAACCGCTAGAGGGTTGGTTCCAACTCTACAGTACACAACAGCTAACAATATGTGAGTTTTATTAAATCTCTTTTGGTTACTCACATCCCTACAATAGTGAGGCTTTCTATTTTAAGCAATATTAATTAACACTTTACTTTTAATTAGGAATATCTTAATATTTCTTTCTCATTTAAAATAAACTTACTATTTCTTTCTAATTAAGCACAGAGAAAACCCAAAATCACCCACTATTTCAATTCTGTCACACAGTATATAATTCTTTTCTTCTCCTGCAGGTGAATATAAGCAGAAATACTCTTGACCTCTGAATTCACTACCTCCAAGTATGAATATTTTAACTGCTACAGCCATGGCATCTTCATGCTGGAAAAACTGAGTGGTTGGGTCCGTCGTTCCTAGAAAGCTGTTCTTTAAGTGTGAGCCCACCATGTGGACCAATATCAGTTCTGCCCCCTTTTTGTTGACTGGCTTCCCAGGTCTAGAGGTTTTTCATCAATGGATCTCCATCCCCTTCTTTGTAGTCTACTTCTCTGTGCTTCTAGGCAATGGTACGCTTCTCTATCTCATTAAAGATGACCACAGTCTCCATGAACCCATGTACTACTTTTTAGCCATGCTGGCAAGTGCAGACCTCATGGTGACACTGACCACCATGCCTACTGTCATGGGCGTATTGTGGATGAATTACAGGAAGATAAATCACACATCATGCTTCTTGCAGGCCTATTTTATCCACTCTCTTTCCATTATAGAATCAGGCATCTTACTGGCAATGGCCTATGACCGTTTTATTGCTATACGGAATCCTTTGAGATACACATCTATTCTCACGAGTACGTGGTTGGTAAAGATAGGTGTGGGTGTATTTATGAGGGGGTTTGTCTCCATCATGCCTGTAATCATTCGCCTTTTCTCCTTCTCATATTGCCGCTCTCATATTCTCTCCCATGCTTTCTGTCTTCACCAAGAAGTCATGAAACTGGCTTGTGCTGATATCACCTTCAACAGGATCTACCCTGTAGTTCTCGTCTCTCTAACAGTCTTTCTAGATGTTCTGATAATTCTCTTCTCCTATATTCTAATTCTTAAAACTGTCATGGGCATCGCCTCTGGTGAAGAGCGAGCCAAGGCCCTCAATACCTGTATTTCCCACATTGGTTGTGTTCTTATCTTCTATGTTACAGTGATTGGTCTGTCATTTATTCACCGGTTTGGGAGGAATGTGCCACATGTAGTTCACATTATAATGAGCTATGTCTACTTCCTCTTCCCTCCCTTAATGAACCCTATCATCTATAGCATCAAGACCAAGCAAATTCAAAATGGTATTATCCGCCTTTTGTCCAAACACAGATTTAGCAGTTAAACATCAACTTGGATAATGGTCCATGGAAGAAAGGTGCATGGGATTTCTCTAAACAAAGGATCAAAGACTTCAACTCTCTTGAAATCTGATATGGGAGTATCTAAATGAGATAATAATATTTATGACGCTTTATAGCAAATTAATAAGTTGTGAGTATGATTGTGCCTGGGCATTTGTGTGTGTATATGTGGTGGGGGGAGAGGGTCTTCAGAAAATATGAGTCATCTTATTTTTACTATTCTCCATTGGATAAATGCAAGTTTATCCAGGTTTAGCTTACTAACATTTATAACATAGTTTTGAAATGGTTCCTCTTATTTACCTTTTCTCTGTATAAATAAATGAATATACATTAAATAAACTTTAAGAACAAAATGTCACTATCTCTCAAAACTTTTCCTACTCCTAACCCATAGAAACTACTGATTTGTTGTCTCTAAGTAAAGTTTTTTCTTTTGGGGAATGTTATATAAATAAAGTTAAACAGAATGCAATGTCATTTTAAAGCTTCTTTTACTCGGCATAATGTCTTTGAGATTCATCCAAGTTATGTTTACCAATATCCCATTATGTGAGTAGTTCATTGTGGATGGAGAGCTTGAAACTGTCAATAGCTTCATCTTGCTTGGATCCATGATTAATACCCTAGGTGCAAGCAGTCAGGAAAGAAGGAGACACATTGCATGATGTTGGGAAGGGTGGAGGGTCAGCAAAGGAGAAGACCCTCAATCAGGTGGATTGACACAGTGACTGCTGCAATGGGCTCTTGTGTATCAGGAAGTGTGAGGTTGGTGCAGGACAGGACTAGGTTTAGATCTTTTGTTCATAGGGTCACTATGAGTTGTACTCAACTTGACGGCACCTCACAACAACAACAATTCCATTATATGGCAATAACATATTGATCTTTTCCCTAGAAAAATATAATTTTCCAGTTACTGTTTTCCAGCTATTTGCCAATAATTTCACTAGGTTAACATCTTCCTCAATTTCTGCTGTCTGTTCTGCTGTGATCACCCTTTTTCAGGATAACTCTCTAAATTTTCATCAACTATATCCTAAGCCCAAATTGTAGATTCCTGAATCTGCCTTTCTTTCTAGGTCTCTTCCTTAAACATGTGGCAGAAACCACTTATGACTAGACTTCTCCATTGTATGTATCTGTGTCTCTCCTAAACTATTCGCTCATGGACACTGTGCTCACCTACTCTCTGCATCTGGTTTCTTGCTGATTTAACTGGCTTCACTCACTAGTCTTGGCTCCTCTGATAGCCCACATAGGCCTCTTGACATTATTATCAAGTGTTATCACTGCAAAACAACTGGACGTAAAAGTATTGTTGATAGATGAGGACCTGGAACAGAGCTAGCAAAACAGTGATAAAGACAAACAAGGACAAGGTTTTTACAATTCAGCAAGTAGAAAATAGAGGAATTTCTCTAAGGAATCAATTTGATGGTCTGAAACTTAGTTTTACTATGTGTCCAGGTTGTGACAATAAAGGAATATCATCTATCATGTGTTCATTGTTTATTATTGTTAGTGTCTAAAAAACTTCACAGTTGTATTTACTACCTACAGAGATGTTTCTACCTGGTTTTCACTATAAACCATAAGAGACATGTTAAGAGACTGAAGGTTAATCTACCTAAGAAAGGATACATCAAATAATTTATCCAAAACTACACAATATGGAGTTCAAACAAACTTATCTAGAAAAACAAAGTATTGGGGCAAATTAGAGAAGTCTTTTTTTTATTCTTCTACTAGTCAGAACAAGAGTGAGGTAGAAAATGTGATTCACCCACTACTCTGTGTAAGAGTGTTCAGGGGAGGGGAGGGATAACTAAAAAAAAGTCACATCTGATATATGGGGGTGAGTGATTCTGTTGGAAAGAGGAAGGAAATTGGAAAGCCTTGGTTTGTGATAACGTTTGGGCTGAAATGTATCTATATGCCCATAAGTATTTGTCAACAGTTTTAGTTTGCTAAGTTCCACAATGAACACTCTTGATAGCAGCAGCCAGGAAATCAAGAGAAAAATTGCATTGGGAAAGTCAGCTGTCAGGGACCTCTCCAGAGTACTGAAGAGTAACAACGTCAGGCTGGATACTAAGGTGTGCCTGATCCAGGCCCTAGTCTTCGCAGTTGCGTTCTATGAGTCAGAGAGCTGGACAGTGACTACATGATAGAAAGAGAAATGATGCTTTTGAACTGTGGCACTGGAGAGGAGTGTTGAATATACCATGGACTTCTAGTAGAAAAAAACAAGTTTGTCGTGGAGAGAGTGAATCCGGGATGCTCCTTGGACGCAAGTATTCTGAATCTTCGTCTGACGTATTTGGGGCATGTTTCAAGGAGAGACTGGTCCTTGGAAAGGATGCTGATTAAATTTAGACTCCTAACAAGCCTGTGAGCACAGAGAACTGCCACATATTTTTTTGGGCTATAAATCTTTACAGAAGCAGACTCCCTTATTTTTTTCCTGAAGTGTATCTGATGGATATAAACTGCTGAACTTGAAATTAGTGGTCAAGAATTACTGTGCTATTATTGTTGTTGTTATGTGCCATCGAGTTGCTTGTGACTCATAGCGACCCTATGTACAACAG